AAAAAAAAAAAAAAAAAAAGCTGCTAGATTCTGAAGCGGGACCAATGCCGATTTAAAAGTGCAGCGTCACGGTAGATCCGCTGTTACCCCGCGGAATGCAAACTGTGAAAGGAGTTGGCTGCTGTGTAAAATGTTTCTTTCCTGAATATTTACGGGAATATCTGCGTAGGAGAGGGACTACAGCACAGTCCCACAGCGAGGGGTGAGACTTGAACCCAATGTAGATCTTGTCTTATCGGGATTTGGACGGCGATCGATTCCATATGAGTCCCAAGATTAAAATTAATTTGAAATATGACATATTGAGCATTTAAAATCAATCACTGCAGTGCCCCGTAGTCTAATATTATTTTGGATTCCCTACAACTTTTGTCATACATAGTTTCAAGAACATTTTAGTTTAAATACGGAAGTAAAGGAATGTAAAAGAAAAAAAGAATGTTCAGTTGGTAGCCTTTCATGATGTGAATAAGCAAAACAGTGTATGGAGCACCACAGTCACATAACACATCTATATTTAAATCAGCAATCATTAGATGATTATTTTCAAAACTCAAAATAGGCATTTCTGATTGAACTCTTAAAACCAAACCATGTTGTTACCTGGCATTCAGATGGGCCATAATATTTCTTCAAAGTCTAAATTGCTTCTATATAAGGCCTTCTGTAGAAAGATTTTTGTTTAACTGATTGAGACATTAGCTTTTCTAAACATAATGTGCTGCACTAATTGCAGTTTTCTTGTGTTGGTAGTAGTGGTGAAGGCTAAGCAAGACTAGTGAGCCTAATTACAGGTGATCTACTGTATGAAGTTCAATTTGTACTATATCAGGTTCCAAGTGTGTAGATATAATATAGTGCAATTTTTAAAATCCCCTTTCACCTTGTCAATGCTAGTTTAAGAAACCTTTAATAACAGCTAATAGTACACCTAAAAATCAATGGAGTCCTTTTTGTATTTCAAGGCCGGATTCAGAAACCAGCCAGAGCCCACAGTACAGCTTTGAGTCATTGCCTCAGAAGATTTGTCTCATCTGTGGGGATGAAGCATCAGGCTGCCATTATGGCGTCCTTACCTGTGGGAGCTGTAAGGTCTTCTTTAAAAGAGCAATGGAAGGTAGGCTTCTTCTTCCTGATTCTCTGTGATTGGTTTGATTTTCAATGGAGACCATCTAATATTAATTAACCTTTATAGCTAATAAGAAGTAGTGACATTTCCCTATAAACTTAAGATATATGATGACATCGTAACAATAATACTTTAATACTCAACAGTGGATGTGCTTGTATATCATAATTTCATATTCTAACATTTTCAGGAGACCTCACAAGTTATAATCTTGAGGACAGTGCTACTGTTATTCAGTAACTAGTGGACTTTCAAAAGCAGCTTTATTTCAATATATGAATTGCACATCTACTACATATAAAAAATAATTTAAACTTTTGAGTAAAAACGCTATTAGTTGAAATTATACATGAATATGCATATGTATATCTGTTATATATACATATGCATATATAGGACATCTATATGTTGTAGTTAACAAATATATAACATATACATACATGTACATATATACAAAATATGAAAAAGGTGCAGTTATTAATTTTGTACATGATTTTATCTTTTCTCTACATGAATATTTATTTATGCAATGGTAATTCCAAAAAAAATTCTTAATTCTCTTTTTGTTTATGATATTTTTATGTGTATAAGAAGATAGGAGTAAAATGTTTAGAACAAATGAAAATCGTGGACATTACAGTCAAATGATTTCTAAAGTATTGCTTTAAGTAAAATGTGCACATTTAAAAGTCATTTAAATTATACACTTAAATGATTTTGGATTGACTTGATTAATGTATTTTAGAAGTTAACTTTTGTAGAAAACATTTTAAGTTTATCTGTCCACTTATACTAAACTCTAAACAGCAAAACATTTATGTTTGAAGATAAAAAACTTTTATAGATCATTTCACTTTTTTACATTTGAATATTATTATAAATGTGTTTTACAACAAGCTGAAATGAAGTGCTGATATCATATTTGGACAAGAAACTAGATTTGAATGTCAACTTTTTAATTTGCTGTTTCTGAAGTTTTCTGATTTCAGGAGCCTTTGACTTAATAAGCAACAAGGGAGGGGAGGAGGTAGACAATTTTCACTGTTAAGGGGACTTCAAAGGAGTTCTTAATAAAAAAATGTACTTTATATATTTGTATAATTTGCATAATGTATTTAATTGATATTTAATGTGTTTGTCTTCAAGAGGTTTAATTGCATTTTAAATTAATTGAATACATGGAGCAAGTGAAGTGATCATAACTTTCCGGTGGATGTGATTTAGTCAGTTACAGATGCATGGGAAAGTTGGTTTTCCAGGGATTAGAATAGCCATTTCTTTTGGCTTTGACTGCTACACCATTCCCTTCTGCACTGTGAATTCCTCCATTCTTACCATTGCTTTAAGATAGTATAATTTTACAAGTGGTCAATCCCTTTAGAATTTCCAAAAGGTCAGTTTATTAGAACTTAGCTCCTTTTTACAACTAAGCAAATCTCAAAGACATAAATTTGAATTCCTAAAAATCACATATCTGGTTAGTAGATGATTTGTAGTAAACATAGGCTAGATATTTTGAAATTACAAAGCTTATAAATAAAAGATGATATGTGCAGATATGTGCCACTTAATTCACAGAAGTTCCTTCATAAAATGGATATATAGAACAAAGAGCGCTCTAACTACAAAATATAATTTTTCTCATATTATCATTAGAGTACCATCCAAAAATTATAATATATATTTCCCAATTTACCCTTAAAAGGTATTGGTAGAATTTCTCTTGTTGGCCTGGTACTATTTTAGTCTTGAAGAGTAGAAATGAAGCACCCTTATTCAGCAGTATTTATAAGGAAATACTTTGGATAGATATTGAAAAATCATTCAAGAAGCTAGAACAAGGTTATGAGCAAATCCATTCATTCAGTGTTTATTATATATCTCTTACATTTAGATTTATGCTGAAGATACTCTTTCCCTGAATGCATCTCCCTCAGCTCTACATATAATGAAGATAATAACAATTGATACCTTTTAGAGTTCATATGAAGATTATGTTAGTAAATATATACAATGTATTTAAAAAAATGCCTCACAGATTGTTATTTCCAGTGGTGTCCCTTTTACCTTCAAGGAGTTTACAATAGAGTTGGAGATGTAACATATATACACTTAAGATATTTAAATAAAGATTCTCATTAAATCCCCAGGTAAGTGGTTCTTTAATAAGAGATTTGTGTAGTTTATGTCTTTGTGTAGCAGGGAGGTGGTTGTGGGTTGTAATTTGTATGTTCTACAATAATAAAAGGAGGTTTCATGGAAGCTGTGACCCTCATGTGGTTATTTAAGAACAAATAAGATCTCCAGGCATTGAGGAGGGCTTTAAGTATACACATTCAATAAAGTTACATAAATTAAGATTACACTGAATGAGAGTTGAATATTCATTTAGAAAATTGTGAAAGTTAAAGTCTACAAAGTTATATTGGTAATGTTTAGGTGAATTGAGAGATAAATCAGTGATTGAGACCAAGAATTTTCAGGAATGAAAAAATAAGAAGAAGGACTTTTATAGTGATAGAGATACCAAGTTTGAAATCTCAGAGCAAAGCAGAGCTGTGTGATGAGCTGGTTCAGGGTAGATCTCTGTGAGATGTTAGGATGGCCAGAAATAGACAGTCATTGGCAACAATTTGGCTATCATTGTTACCAGGGACATTAATAATAGCAATGGCATTTTAAAGTGCCTTGTGTGTGCCAGTGACTAAGTAGTTTATAAATCTCAACTCATTCAATCCTTATAACATGACTATTATTATTTCTTCCTCTTTACTAACTATGATCATAAGCCTTTTTAATAAGCCTTTTCATCACAGGAAGTGTAGTAGAGTCAAGGCTCAAACTCAGGTGGTGTGATCTCTGCTATCAAATGCCTTGGTTCCTTTCTCATGATAGGAAATGTGATCAAACATGTTTCCAGGTGATGATGCATCTAGAAAAGTAAAGTGAATCCTAAAGGAGAATGAGAAGTATGGGATATCAATGGGTGGATAATATTAAATTCATATGTAGGGTGGCAATGAGAAGACACAACCAAAGGCTGAGAGTCAGTTTCCCCATTTCCCTTCCAATTTAGGAGTGGGAAATGATAGAAGCTATAAAGTTACCCAAAGAACTAGGTTTCACTTGGTATGTATGGCACAGAAGAGAGAGCTAGAGGTAGACAAAAAAGATACTACTAAGGAAATAGAGAAGGAATTTTTCTTAACCTAACTAAACTACTTAAAATATGTTAGCTGAAAAGGCAGTTAGTTGAATAATCCATTGAATTCCTTTACCAAGACTTGTAGGGTTGGAGTGAACCAGGAAGTGGTCAAGAATTACTTTATGTCTTTCAAGAGGAAATGGCCTGCCTTTCCCATAAATTCAGGCTGAGGAACCTGTGAAAGAAAAAAATACTTTTTCATTGGCTTATCTCTGTATGCATTATGATCAGATCAGTGCTAGGAAAACAGTAGACATTCAATGTTAGCTACGCGAACCAGATATCATAACTGATAATGCTACACTCTCATTCTTTGGCTACTGTACTCTGTGACAGTATTTTTAGAAGTACATTCCATGTAATATGGTTAAATAAATATAGTTAAATTGTACTATTTAGAAGACATGAGGCTCTTGTAGGTATTGATTATTTTTTAAATTATGTTGTGTTATCTTCATTCTTAGTCATGTATTAATCTGGATGAGTTAATTACCTTAACTAAATTAGTTTGGGTATTAATGTCCATGTACTATGCAAAATGCTGGTGAAAGTACAGTAAAATACAACAGACCTGGCTGGCCACTGCTGTGGAGGAGCCTATAATATAGGCAAGGTACACTTTACCAAGTTACAAGGATGTAACTAATTGAAGATATGATTAAGTTATTAGACTGTGCAAGTAGGGACAACTAGAAAATTGACACCTTATCTCCACCCCAGTCAGAAGTTGGATATAGTATGGATATTCAAAATTCGAGGAATTACTATAAATAGGCCACAGAGGAAATTTAAAAGAAATGAAGTGTTTTCATGAATAAATTGTTCTTTCAGCAGTTGACTATATAGTTGGTATCCTAAGTTAACAGGGGAAACTAATTCAGTAGCATAGTTCTTGATAAGAATTCTGATAGAGCAATATTAAACAACAGTAATTGTTAACAACTTGCATGAATTACTTTTCCTGTCTTTAGATTGCTGTGATGCTTTCTCTTTCTTTGGTAGTTCACAAAATTATCCTGTTGTACTATAATTTATTTCATTAGTAGTTGGGCTCTTAAGAAGATGTTTTACCAATCATCCTATTTAATTTACTTTCCAAAAGAGTCTACCCTCTGGCATTTTTCCCATCACTCTAAAATTAAGTTTGTAGTGGATTCACTAGACTTCATTTCAAAACTTTAGCCAATTTCTTCTCAACCTGCATGTTTCTTAGTTTAATGTTTAACATGAATAATAAGCTAGTTTTAAGAACAAATTTACATTACAATACATTGAAGTAATCCTCTGCTACACTAAAAAAGAAGTAGTTACAATGAGAGCATTTGGTGTCATCTGTCCAATATAAGGTTATATAGCATCAGATTATCAGTGCTCCTTCGGAGTCTGAATATTAACACCTCTGCAAGAGCAACTGGGGAAGCAGGACCACCCAGCATCCATGTGGGCATCAACAGCTATGTTTTTGCCTTGGCCATTGAGCCTTGGACTTTGATTATACAAGCAGTACATTCTCCTAAAAGTTAAAACGTTACCAATGAAGCTTAGCTCCTTTCTATTCAGTATCACTAATCTTTTCCCTTCCGGACAATTTTTAAAATCCTGTGTGTGTGTGTGTGTGTGTGTGTGTGTGCGCGTGTAATATGTTGTTTGAGTTATGTTAATACATAAATATTGTCTCATGTAATAGGTATTATTCACATTATTTTTTACATACAATGACTTGAGTACTGCCATGCATTGTGCAGTTCTAACTATAATTCATAAAATGAAAATCCTCTTGTCT